TATACCGTTGAGCTGCTGAACTTGCTGACCGAAAGGTGCAAGATGGAGGCTGAGGTGCAAGATGGAGATGGTTCGGTCAATGATTTTCATGCAGACAGTGACAGAGAGGCCCCAGTGAAAAGGGCAGTTTCTCATGAGAATATCCCTGCTGGGCCTAGCAATGATGGTTCACTCCCTCTCTCTGTGAGCTCTCAGGTTAAACCGCTGAGCTGCCACAGGTTATACCGTTGAGCTGCTGAACTTGCTGACCGAAAGGTGCAAGATGGAGGCTGAGGTGCAAGATGGAGATGGTTCGGTCAATGATTTTCATGCAGACAGTGACAGAGAGGCCCCAGTGCAAAGGGCAGTTTCTCATGAGAATATCCCTGCTGGGCCTAGCAATGATGGTTCACTCCCTCTCTCTGTGAGCTCTCAGGTTAAAACGCTGAGCTGCCACAGGTTATACCGTTGAGCTGCTGAACTTGCTGACCGAAAGGTGCAAGATGGAGGCTGAGGTGCAAGATGGAGATGGTTCGGTCAATGATTTTCATGCAGACAGTGACAGAGAGGCCTCAGTGAAAAGGGCAGTTTCTCATGAGAATATCCCTGCTGGGCCTAGCAATGATGGTTCACTCCCTCTCTCTGTGAGCTCTCAGGTTAAACCGCTGAGCTGCCACAGGTTATACCGTTGAGCTGCTGAACTTGCTGACCGAAAGGTGCAAGATGGAGGCTGAGGTGCAAGATGGAGATGGTTCGGTCAATGATTTTCATGCAGACAGTGACAGAGAGGCCCCAGTGCAAAGGGCAGTTTCTCATGAGAATATCCCTGCTGGGCCTAGCAATGATGGTTCACTCCCTCTCTCTGTGAGCTCTCAGGTTAAACCGCTGAGCTGCCACAGGTTATACCGTTGAGCTGCTGAACTTGCTGACCGAAAGGGAAATGATGGTGCTGAGGTGCAAGATGGAGATGGTTTGGTCAATGATTTTCATGCAGACAGTGACAGAGAGGCCCCAGTGAAAAGGGCAGTTTCTCATGAGAATATCCCTGCTGGGCCTAGCAATGATGGTTCACTCCCTCTCTCTGTGAGCTCTCAGGTTAAAACGCTGAGCTGCCACAGGTTATACCGTTGAGCTGCTGAACTTGCTGACTGAAAGGTGCAAGATGGAGGCTGAGGTGCAAGATGGAGATGG